CCCCAGTTTCAAGCACGTTGCCATGAGAGTGCTGCAATCCCTACGTGCAAAATGTATGTGTGTTTATGTGTGTATGTGTGCATGTGTGCCTGTGTGCATGTGTGTATTTGTGTATGTGTGTATGTGTGTATGTGCGTATGTCTGTTTGTGTGTATGTGTGTATGTGTATGTATGTGTGTGTATGTGTATGTATGCGTGTGTGTGTGTGTGTACGTGTGTATATATATATACATATATTTATATAAATAAGCAAGTATGTAAATAAATCAATAAATAGATGAATAAATAAATGAATAAATAAATGAATAAACAAATAAATCAATGCATAAACAAATAAAGAAATAAGTACACAATAATTATATACATAGACAAACAAATATTTTATATATATTAATATAGATATATGTGCGTATGTGTGTGTGTGTTTGTACCTCTCTCTCTCTCTCTCTGTCTCCGTCTCTGTCTCTGTCTCCATCGCTGTCTCTGTCTCTGTCTCTCTGTGTGTCTCTGTGTGTGTGTGTCTGTCTGTCTATCTGTCTGTCTGTCTGTGTGCGTGTTTTAAATGATGCAGATCACAGTCGGTCCAACGTGCTCAGCAAGCGCGCCAGTCATCCCATCCGTGCCGTCCGTCCATTTGTGCACGATTTCGGCTTTCTACATGGTGTTTCGCCACGAACCATGGTTGCTCAGACTGCCAGAGGGTGGCGGAACCGAGTCGAGCACCCCTTTCTGGATTTCAAATCTGTGCTGCTTGAGGTTCTGTGTCATCACACCATCATCGATGATATCTTTATAAATAAACCACGAAGGCCCTTATGGCGGAGTAGAGTCCCTGGCGTCGCGCTAATCCTCAAGTCCTCGAAGGAAGCATTGTGACTAAGTGATGTTTACTTGGCTAGACTGCAGATTAGTTTCCTCCGCATCAGGGAGAGTAGCCGGAGATAGCTGGAGAATCACCCACATGCCTCCGTGGAAGCGGACATCCGTCAAGCCTTCATCAACCTACAGAGTTTATCACTTTTAGCGGGGCGTAGCAGCGCAGCCTGTCTTCCGAATCTGCCCCCAGGGCCTCCTTTTGTGCTCAGCTTTGAAAGGCACTTATACAAAGACAAGTAACAGGCATCCGTGGAATTCTTTGCCGTTGTGTCTGTCAATGCACATTTTCCTTTCACTTCTGGAATTCGATGCGTCAGATCTTCGTAGCTGAAGTAAAGGTCAGGCCTCCAAGATCCCAAACTCATTCGTCCAGAGGCCTGCAAAATCTTTGTAACGAGAGGTGTGTACACCAGAATGTGTGGGCCAGCACGTCAGTTGTTGCACCCGGACGTCTGTGAATGGTTTTTTGAGAGACCTGGTGGGTGGTTGGGCGGGCGGGTGGGTGTGGGTGCGTGGTGGTGGTGGTGTAGCGGGTGTCCTAAAAGGATAAAGGCCGCAGGTGAAGTTGTAACTCGCCTTCACCCGGCCCCAGCCGCTGAACGCGGTTTTCTGGACGAGATGTAGCCTGCCGCATCTGCCACTGACACGGATGGCAGCTCCGAAAGCAAAGCACCAGATGTATCAACTTCCAATGTTTCAGGCGTTTCAGCTTCATCCAATTTTTAAACTTCTTGTCTCACGACACCCGGAGGCATGAAATGCACACATCTGCTTTTGGCTCTTACGATCTTGGTTTCATGCCATGACCTGCCCTCCATGCTTAAGGACTTGCAAGACGCCTCAGGAAGTCTTCCACTTGGCATCTGGGTCGTGGGGATCCCACCGCCAACCGCTGTCATGGAGATCCTCACCGAGGAAATCTTAGGCATCAACGTCCACAGGGACAAAGACGATCCGGCTGAAGCCTCACCCACCGTCGTGCTCCGGGCCTTGGCCGGATGCGAGCAACCTGAAAACGCCTCACATCCAACCTGCCTTGGTAAGCCATCACGATACCATGCAAGCCTCGGAGTGAGCATAACAGATATTCAAGCATGGGAGAACACCATGCAGCAGATGCGGTTGAGATCAGTCATAAACACCAGGTCTTTGGGTTATACAATGGTTGACATACTCTACGTGAACGACGACGCCCTTGAACGCGCAAGGAACGAAGAGAACCTGAAGTTAGAGTATTATGGTAGCTACGAGGCGCCGAATGCAGCATGGAGGCAGTTCGCAAAGATCTCGGAGTTTGACACCTCGATGCTACTGCCTTGCGAAACAGCGCTCTCTTGGGACCTACCAAACTATGTTCGAGTTACTGGAGACGCGGAAGGTGTCATCGAGGTGGACGGGCGATTGCGTTGGAACTGCGCAGATCGCTGGTGGTTGGCGCCAGCTTGCCGTGGCAACTCGTCCACTTGCATCCCACTGTTTGTACCCAGCTGGGGTTTTCCTCGAATCGCATATCCCACGGAAATCATGTTGAAAGCAGCTGTGTGGCAGCTCACTTTCGCCGTTGGCATTTTGGATGGAATTCAGCCAGGAGACTCGTTCCATGATACCATCGCAGCCCGGGATGACATTCTTTTCTGGTATTGGGCTCCTACGCTTCCACCAGCAGGCTTTGCACGAAGGAAGCATGAAATTATGTTCCCGCCCTACAATGGGAAAGAATGGGCCGATGGGAATACCGCAACAGCCGCTCCTGGCTGGCCTGCGAGCGTGGCTTACCGAACTGACCTGGCCCAACTGGCCCCTGAAGCGTTTTACATGCTATCAAGGATGAGTTGGACCCGCGAGGACGTCGAAGCGGTGTTGATTCTTCAGGCAGCTTCAAACTTAACTGACAAGTTCACTTGGGCTGGCCTCCGAGATGGAGCATGCAAGTGGCTCCATGCTAATGAGAGAGTGTGGAGGCGATGGATTCCGGTGAAATCCAGCTGCCTGCCAGGCCAGGGCATGTTTTCGGAAGAAACCCAAGAGTTCGTAGGAGTCCGCGCTGCGAGCACGGTTTGCCAACCTTGCCCACCTGGGCTCTTCTCAGCATCAGCGTCAGATGAGACAGGTGAGACCGCCATTTGCTCACCATGCACGCCGGGAACCATTTCACCCAATGTTGGCGCTCTTGCATGCCAAGGTTGCTTTGAGGGTACCTTTGCCAACGCTTCGGGCATGAGTGTCTGCGAGAAGTGCCCACAAGGTGGGTGGAAGTTGTGGAAAGGGCAGGGCACGGCAGTTGGGGACATCATGAGAAATCCGTCACATGGCCGTTGCTAGAGTCTGCTAAATTTGCTAGAGCGAGTTCAGACTGCTGTCGGTTTGCTTGAGTGCGAAAGACGGCAGCAAGTAGCTGGCAACTGCTGCAGTGTGCAGTGCAGTCAGTGTAAACGCTGCTTGCTGTTGTTTGTTTGTTTGGTTGGTTGTTTGGTTGGTTGGTCGGTTGATTGCTTACTTGGTTGGTTGGTTGGTTTGCTTGCTTGCTTGTTTGTTTGTTGTTGTTTTTGTTTGTTGTTGTGTGTGTGCGCATGTGTGATTCTGACGTCTCAAACCCCCTGACGTCACCTACCAGGTGAGTACCAGGACATGCCAGCAGCTTCAGCTTGCAAAGCTTGCTCTGAGAAGAAGATTACGCTCTTCTTGGGTGCAACCAGCGCGGATGACTGCGAGTGCATGCCGGGCACCTATTGGTACAATGGAAGCTGCATCAGCTGCCAGGAAGGTCTGTTTTGCAAAGGAGGTCTGGCCCCTGTGGAGCAAAAGGCAGGCTTCTGGGTTGAAGTTGAAAACGTGGGATCTGATGAAATGGATGAAATGCCCAGATACTCTGTGTTCCTTTGCAGAGACACTTTGCAATGTCCTCAGGGAGGCCTGGGTCAGTGTGCCACTGGACGTACAGGCCGCTCCTGCGGCGCGTGCATGCTAGGCACTAGTGCCCGTTCCAATGGTACCTGTCAGCTCTGTGATGGAATCCAGCTGTTACCTATCATCTTTTGGTTGGCGGCAGTAGCTCTCCTTGTCTTGGTCCTCACGTTTGGATGCATGCTCGGGAAGAAGATGACTCTGAACGCAGCAATGATTATGGTCGTTTTTGGCCAGATGGTGGTGTGCATGCAGTCGCTGGCAGCCATCTACAAGCTGGATGTTGCTTGGTTGGAACCGGCCAAGTCTTTCTTGCGATTGATGACGGTTCTGAGCCTTGACCTCGATGTCTCTTGCTTTCTGCCTCCAGCTCACACGACCATCTTTGCTCTGCGGCTTGCCACTTATCCGATCGCCGCAGCCGTCGTGCTATATGTGTGGTGGCTGCTCAAGCTATTTCGCACAGCACCCAGGTTCCACGTTCTCATCAATTTGCATGGCATACTGACACTTTCTCTTTTCACAGCGATGTCCGACACTGTGCTTTCGCCCTTCCAATGCCGTGGCAACCCAAACGGTTTGCCCACGCTACAGGCACACAGTGACGTCATTTGTTGGAGGGGCGAGCATGAGACTCTTGCTACCATGGGGGTGCTGGGAATTCTTGCGTACCCAGTAGCGATCTTTACCTGGTTTGTTTACCTCACATGGATGTATCCGAAGTGGGTTACATCAGGCACCGGGTTGGACCTTCTTGAACGTTACAGGTTCTTGTTCGGTCGTTTCCGGTCAGACAGATACTATGGGGGCGTCTTGTTCACGCTTCTCAACTTTGCCATCGCCGCGATCCCAGTCCTCCTGGTGTTCCAGCCAATTCTGCAGATTGGAACTGTGTCACTGGTCCTGTGCACAAGACTTGTTCTGCAAGCCGTGCTTTGGCCATGGAAGCAACAGCTTCCAAATTTCACCGAGATGGTGCTCTCAACAGGATTGCTTGGCGGCTTGGTATTGGCAGCGCCACTACTGAACATGACGGGGCCAGGCAGCGAAGCGCTTTTGTCAGGGATACTGACAGGGCTTTTCGCATCCCCTCTCGCAGGAACTTTGTTTGTCGCGCTGTGCGCTTTCTCGTACAGATGGCGGAGACATCGCAGATACTTCATCTTTCTCTGTCATCACAAACAAAAGGCTGGTGCTCTGTGCCGTTACATGAAGCCACTTGGTATATGTCCGATTCCTTTGATTCTTTTGCTTTTTCACGGCACTATGGTCATGTGTCCTTCCAGCCCCCCTAGCTCAGGTTGGTCATTGCCAAGCACGTGCGAACTGAAGTGTTTTTGGATTCCGACCAGCTAGAAGACCTTTCACTTCTCTTTGACATGGTCGCCACTGACACAGGCTGCCTAATTGCAGTGCTCACAGGGCAGACGCTACAAAGAGCTTCTTGGTTGGCCAACGTCTAAGCTTTAAACTTGCTGGTTCGGTACTCGTAGTACGGAATATCGAACTCTTCCCATAGCCCATGGCCTTACCAAGGCTTGGTGTGCCGGCGAGATAACAAGCGCTTACAAGCAGAAGGTGCCGATCCTGCCAGTCTACTGCGATGGCTTCCAGTTTCCGGGCGTGGGATCCAGTGCTCTTGAATCCCTATGGGGGCAAGCAGACAAGAGGATCTTGCTCAGCTGTGGTATTTCGCTTGCAGACGTTCAGGCTCATGTTGAATCTAGAATTCGAGCTCTGCAATTTTTTGGTGGCTTGAGGCTGTAGGATTATGTAGGGCATCGTGCAGCTACTGTAGAGCATAGATGAACGCTTGGCACACCTCCTGCCCTTCTGGGTCTCTGACAGGCGGCCTACGAACACGTCCAGAGTCTGGAGCGCATTGCCTTTTCACGCTCTGACGTACCAGCTGAGCAAGAGCAGCAAGTCATCCAGGCTGTTGGGGGTATAGTCTTGCAGAGCATCCCAACAAATAACCTCGGGCGGTGTGCCCCCAAATGTCCAAGTCCCCTGAGAGCCGCCAAAGGTCCAAAGAACTGGTCAAGAACGTCTTGCAACGAAGCAAGTAATGGTTCTTCGATCTCTTTCGATTGAGATGTATGAACCGAACTATCGGACATTCATGTCGTTCCTGCCTGAGCTGTGCTCCGGAAAGTTATCGTGAAAGCATGTTGCCAGGTTCGTTGGCTTCAACAAAAAAGGAGAACATTCCCAAAGCAGCCTTAGTCACATGGCGGCTTGGCAGGTCTAGAGTCCAGGTTTTTCTTGGGGCCCTCAAATACGCCAAATGTGCCAAGAAGGAAGTTTGAGCCCACGAGAAGCTGCTGTAGATAGCTTTTGGCTTCAAAACCCAGCAAGTCATGACGCCACAAGCTTTTTCGGTTGGTAAAAAAATTGAGTAAGCATGCAAGAAAAGAGTTTTGGCGAGAAGCTGGTATTGCAAGGCTTTGGGCTCCAACATCAAGTCCATTGGTGACGTTGCAGGTTTGGGAAAGCTGGCGTAAGATGACTGGGAACTTTCTGTTTTCAGCTGCGAAGAATTTTTTTTGGTGAAAGGGCTTGCTACCAGGCGAGAAACATGCCAAAACAGGATTTTTCAGGCTTGGACAGGCTGTTCTTGATAAGTTCTCCAGGGCCAAGACAGGCCAGCATTGACTCTTCCTGTTGCGACTGCGACAGCTTTACTTCACATACGAAACTGGGGTGAGCGATCTTGCATCCTTGCGCACTTGCTCAACAAAGGCCAGAATCATCGTCAAAGGAGCAACAAGTCAAAATACCCAAAAAGTGTTCATGGAAAGCCACTGACCCTAAACCCGAAACACCAAGCAACCTCGAAGCACTTGGTCATCACAAATTTGGCACTGCGACCAACCGTCGTCGTTGGGTGCAGACGCGCTTAGCACCTTTTTAATTGGGTAGGATTCTCCGAAGGCTTCCGTGGCAGGGCTTTGTAGGCAGAGAGAGGGCCAAAACAGATCAAACAGCGCAGATCGCAACAACAACAGCGCTTAGCCTGGATCTCACGGAGGCAGGCTGCAGGAACTCCATAAAATCAACCTAAAGAACATGCAGAAAACAGGTTGCCACGCAGGAATTCTGGGTAGCTTCGTTGTAGATTATGACAAGATAAAGAGTTTGGTGTCTTGCTCGAAGAAAAGCTTGCTTTCGATGGCTGTCAGCACCTGGGTTTTGAGGGTTCCTTGGATTTGGGGTTTCGGAAACCTTAACCTTATAAACCCTAAACTTCCCAAAACCCAAAACCCGAAACCCTGAACCCTTTGATGAAGTGCAGGTGCTTGCCATGGCTCACCAGATGACTGGCATCAAATGGACCACAAACCTTACGATAGACCCACAGGCTGGCAGGGGTTTAGGTAGTAGGGTTTAGGGTTTTTAGGTGTCATTCCAGTTAAGTGGAGATTCTTATTTCCACTTCTTGGCCGTTTCAGAAAGACGCCCCCCGCCCACCCGGTCCACCCCTCCCCAAACCCAAACCCCGAATCATCCCTTCCACTCCCTGCGGCTGCTCATTCTTCCCCGCTGTTCTCTTTCTTCCCTGTCTTCTTTTTCTGATGTACAACCATGATCAACAGTCTCTCACTCTTTGAGTATTGGATGTGGGGGCCATTCGCCCCTACTCTACTATTAACCTGAGATTGTCGTCCTGCGACCAGGGAGACATTGCATCGACTTCAACATTGATATTCACGACCGCGCGGCAGCCCGAAGCAGTATCCACCAGCTTGATGTTGCAGCAGCTGATGCAGGTGGAGAAGCTACGTGCTTTCTACGTGAGTCGACCCGAAGACATTTCCTCAGCATTGAGCGCCCGGTCAGTTGTGATACTGTTGAGCGAAGATGCGCTAACAGATCCATGCTTTGCCAGACTGGTACTGGCGACCAAGAAGGTGCAGCTGGCAAATGTCATGGTGACCGACAGCACTTTCGAGTTTCCATCTGCTGAGCTATACAAGAAGATTCAGCAGCAAGATGAGCGGATTGGGCGAAAGCTCGTGAGAGCCTACAAGTCCATGCTTACGTCGGTGGCAATGCCGCTGACCCCATCTGCCAACGAAGAGATTGTGCGAAAGCAAGCGTGGCAGATCGCCGAGAGGTGTCGGCTCCACCAGAAGAGGCTCGGTCTTTGTTGCATGCGCACTTGCCAGCTGCAGCGCTATCATGCTTGATTTTCGTGACAGTTTCACATAGAGTCTTTCCTTGTCAGTGGAGAAAGTGGGGATGGGGGGGGTGGCGGAGCTTAACTGCGATGGCAGGATGGACCGATCGTCATCTTCACTGAGCTGTTGGAGCCGCTCTGACTCCAGCGGCTCCACCCCCGTTGAAGAGAATCTGAGTTCGGATGGTTCAGGCGACAGACCTCCGCATTCGCCCCCTGAGCTGAAGAATGATGTGTGCGACTCAGATGATGACTTTGTGCAAAAGTATTTCTAGCTGGTTCTCATTAATTATTCTAATTCCGGTCTCACAACGGACGCGGCCTCAGGGAGTGGTTTCCTGAAGTTTCCTGCTGACTACTTGGGCATCAGGTTACGGCAAAACAGCACGCGCACTTTTTGCTATAAAGTTGTTATGTACACGAGTCCTTCGGGTGCCTAGAAGCTGGCTTCCTTCTTGTCGCTACCCCAGCCAAGATGGCATACCAGCCCCTTCTTGTTCCTCACGCAGGGTGTCCTTTCCAAAGGGCACCGCTATCCTCTTTTTTAAGCATCGATTTCATCTTTCCAGCTGCAGCAACGGATCGATTGCGGAGCCGCCATGAGTGAGAAAATTCTCTGCTTCGGGGGATATCGGGGCAATGTTCAGTTATAGTTCCGAAGTCTTGCAGCCGAGTGTTCCCAGGCGGGGTTTGCCCACTTGGCCTTGACCTCTTTGGCAGCGTCTTAGGCAGGGAGCCAGAGATGATTTTTGGTTTTAAAGGCAGTGAGTGAGTGAAGGAAGGAAGGAAGGAAGGCCTGGCTGACGGAGATTGATTGTCTTTAGCGAGTGAAGGAAGGCTTTGGTCACCCTGGCTTTTGCAGGGAGGCGTAACAATAATTCGTGTATATTTAGCGCCTGTGAGTGTCCGTGTAGAGCTTTTGCTTCATCTGAGTGAGCCGGAGGGCTCTTGATTGGACGAGACTCGACGCGAAGAGGAAGGCTTCAATTTTGTTCTATGGGCGTCTGGACTTCTACCCACATGCAGTAAAAGTGATACGCATGCAACAGGAAGAAAAGCTTCTGCAATGGGAGTGCTTCTTCTTTCTCGTCAGAGTTTTGAGCCCTCCCTGCATGCCTAAGCTTCACAGGACTCCCTGACTTGATGAGCCGATGTCCCCAACACGCAGTACAGAGGAGCGGCCCATGGTTGACTTCAGAAAGTTCCCGACACGACAGGAAGACGTTCCGATTTACCGACTGCACAAAGAGGTCCCAGAATTAGCTTACCAGCGCAGCGATCCCAAGTTGAGTAAGTGAAACCCTCACCTTGAATTCAACAATTATCTGCACATATCTGCAAGTTCCATGAGTCGACGGCCACGGCGGTGGAATTTAATTTTGCCATTCTTGAAAAGGCAGCCGTCGTGGAAGCAACGAAAGCAGAAATTTGCACAACCACGTCAGAGTCGTAGCAATGCCGCTGGTCAGAGCAACTGCTGCAATCTTGCAGGGGTAAATGCCACACAGCAAACGGGAGCCAACAGACGATGGGCTTACTTTTGAGGTGTCAAGGTTTGGAACAGGTTGCACTTTTGTCGCAGACCAGACGCACAAATAAGCTGCGGCTCAGTGTGGTGACATGCCATCACCTTCAATGTTGCGTAGTCGGCATTTAGCGTGACCGGATTCTGCTGTACATTCTCTAAACCCTACCTATAGTCTCCATTGCAATTCCTTTTTTGCAGTTGCCTTATAGGTCCTACACATTTAATTGATTAAAGGAAGACTTGGAACTACAATGGAAACTATAGGCAAACCCTAAACCCTACACCTCTAAGCTCCTCAAGAAACGGTGTTGTACGGTGCGAAGTCAATCTTGGCATGAGCTGCAACCCAAGATTACGGTTCTGGTTAAGGAACTGAATTTCATGTGCTGTAATAGGGTTTAGGGTTTAGGAACTTAAATTAAGCTTCAATAATAGGGAACCATAGCAGATATGATGGCTTCCTTACTATGGTAGCTTAGCTTGAGCAGATTGACATGGTTTCCCACTTTCGCAGACCAGTTTGGGATTTCTACACTCTGTACTGTGTGGGCTTCAGTACGAGGAAGTTACGCGCGTCTACGTGACACAAGCTGAGTCTTCCCAGACTCGAAGGTCCAGATTCATTGGTAGGGATGTTAGGCTTTAGGGTTTAGGGTTTTGCGGGGCGGCATTGACGAGCAAGTCTGAGGACACAGTGAACACACCCGTACACAACAACCGGGATACATAAAAATGTACATCTCTGCCGAAGCTATTTGATTGACCATATTATCCTTGTCGGCTACTGTTCGTCACATCTTAAAGAAGTTCTCCAACATAGAGCCAATAATTTGAGACAGGAAGCGTGTGTTTTGCCTAGTTTGATGGTTTGCAGCACCCATGAGCTAATGTTTGGTTCATCATTTGCAGATGAATACTTCAGTCTGACAAACTGCAGCAACATTAAACCCTCGACCCCACATGTACTTAAACCCTAAAGCCTAAACCCTAGAAACTAAACCCTAAACCCTAGACTCTAAACCCTAACCCTAAAACCCTAAATTTGGGATCCTCCATCCGAGATCCGATGCTGCGAACACCCCGGGATGTGTGCAGGACAGCGCGACGAGCACCGTGAATGGCGTGACTTCCACCGCCACGACCCCAAGTCGACGTGCGGGCAGCTACTCTAACCCCTACACCCCTAAACCCCTAACCCAAAAACCCTAAACCCAACAGTCCTAAAAGCCAGTAGCCGATGCTTTCTGCTTGACTTATAAGGAGGGGTGCATGTTTTGCATTAAAGCTCGAAGTCGGGGAGCTTATGCTCGGGGGCTCGAGGTTGAACCCATGATTAGGGCTTAGGGTTTAGGGTTTAGGGTTCAGGGTTGAGGGTTTGGGGTTTAGGGTCTAGGGGAGCTTCTTCAACAACCGGGAGCTGTGGACGAGCTGCAAGAAGAAGACTCTCAGGAGAGCTTTTTCTGTCGTGCAGTGCTGGTCTTTGCAGTGATCGTCAGCTCCAGGCATCACCAAATCTCCGCAGTCCAATCCCGACACCTAAACCTCGCACTAAATTCGAATGTCACTCCTTGCTACTAGATTTTGACATCTGTGCCGGATTAGCGTTTAGGCTTTAGGCTTGAGTGTTTGTGGACAGGATGGTGATGCACCATGAGTCAGAATGCCACTGACGAGTAATTCCGAAGCCCCGCCAGCTTAGGTGGATGCCGTCGCGAGTATTCCGAAGAACGTCAAAAATTCTGTGCCGGTCCCAGCGCTTTCGGGGTTTGCAGATTGGTGGGCAGTAGCCCTTGGCTCAGATTTAGTTTCGGCCTCCCCTACTGCTACTGCTACTGCTACTGCTTTTGCTACTACCACCACCGCCACTTTTACCTCCACTGCGCCGACTACGACGACGACAACCAGGATTACTACTACAAGAAGCAGTGGCGGCAGTAGCAGAAGCAGCAGTAGTAGTCGTCGGTAGTAGTCGTCGTCGTTGGCGGCGTCTTGGTCGTCGTGGTGGTGGTGGTGGCAGTGGTAGTAGTCTAGTCGCAGCAGTGGCAGGAGTTGTTAGAAGCGTCATGCCGCGGGGCTCCTTGTAAGAGGTCAATTGCCAGCTTAAGAACTTCGGGGCAGGTCTTCGTGGCTCCTTGCTGCTGTCGATGGCGTGACAAAGACTGTCGGGGCCCTCCAACGTGATTCGCTGCTGCTTGCAGGAAGATGTCTTGAGCAGCCAACATCACGGTGGCTTCGATCGTACTCCAGTCGAGCATTAGTTTGGCTGAGGTGGATGATGTGCTGAGCACGCCCCGAAAGGTGCCATGGTCGCTGTAGAGATGAGCCTGTTGTGAGTCAGCTAGCAGGGATTATGCAGAAAAGCCTGCAGTCGTGGACACTTTCGAAGGTCAAGGAATCTGTGGACAACACGCTGAATACAGGCCGGTGCTGCGGCGGCGCGTGGTCTGCACTGTGCCAATGTTGCAGCTCCTGATGGACAGCCTTCAGATCTTATTGTAAACCTCAACATCTGCAATAACCTTGTTTAAGGTACCGACGTGCTGTTCACGCGCGCCGCGCACAGGCCGACCGCATCGGTATTTGCGGTGTTTCGTGGACTTTGCAGCTTAGAACGCTCCGCCTCTCGTGTGTTCTGGGGGGGAGCAGAAGCGCGGGCGTGGAGGCCTCGAA